GCAAGACAGTGTGACAGCTTTGGTTTCTTCACATGTTGGGAACATTGAGCCATCGTGTAAGAAGTCCAGCTATTCTGTTGGAGTGACCAAGTTGAAAAACCACTTGAAGAGGGAGCAGCACTGAGAATACGTGGGGAACGAGAGGCCCTACCACCCTGGTATCCCAGCTAAGCCCACCCTTTATCACCAAGGTGTTAGAAATGTGAGTCAAGCCAGCTTGGATGTTCCAGCTCCAACCATCCAATGAATATAATATTGTGACTACCAATGAGTGAGACTACAAGAAAAAATTACTTAAATGTCTCTCAAGAAGATGATTTTGCCAAAAAAGTAAAGAGAAACAATAAAATGAATGTTGTTTTAAGCCACTAAGTTTTAGGGTGGTTTGTTATGGAGTAATAGGTAAATAGTACAGGCAGCTAGGAGACATTTTGAGTGGTAACTGTTCGAATCTGTGAAAATCATAAAATTAACTCAGATACACAGAATTTTTGCTGTCAATCTCAAAGTCAGGTACAGGAGATAGACATGCAAACAACTTCCATAGCATAAATGGTACCTTTAATTTCACAATCAGTTTTGCAGTCAACAATATCTTTCCTATTAAGGCATACAGATTTTTCTCATTCTTTCTGATCATAGTATTTCATAGTGTGTGTGTAGTTTACTTAACAGTTCCTACTATTGATGGACATTTTCATTCTTTTCTGTCTAATTTTTCTGTACTGCAAATAATGGTGCACAAATGTGAATTTCTCTAGTATAATTTAAACTTATTTTCATAGTGACTGTACCAATTTTAGTACTGGCATGCTGTCCATACATTCTTTAGTGGCTCTTGTGCAATCGGTCATATTTGGTATTCAAATTAGAAAGCTAATCATATGCTATATGGGAGATAATATATATTAGCAGCAAACATAAATTCGTGAGCTAGTGAAAATGGCTTTAGAACATTTCTAATTTGTCTGAATAGTTTTAGTAAAGGAGGAAAATGTTCCCACCACATTCTCCCTCATCTAAACTTAATTTACCATTGTCAATTCTTTGCTCATAGGAAATTAGTAGTGGATCAACTATTACATCATAAATACAAAACTAATATTCAAGAAATGACAGAAATGAGTTTCACTTAAAATTCATCGTACATCAGTAGAGAGGATAGCAGAGACTGGTGGTAGGAGTATAGGCTTTAGAATCATATAGACCGGGATTTAAACCCTAGCTTGGCCGCTTCATAGTAGTAGTTGATAGTCATCTGCAAACGGGGGTCAAAATTGTCTATGAAATAGTGTGGTTATAAAAAGTGCCTATAATTTGGCATGTAAATAAATGTTATTTTTTTCTCGATTCCTCTAGGAAGTATACAAACTCTTATTACTAATTGTTATTTCATTCGTACAAGCAAAGGATGTAAAATGACCTTTTATATTTTCATTTATTTGGAAAACCAATTTGCAGCATATTGCGAAGTGAGTGAGAATAGAAGCTTCCAATGACTGCATGAAATAATACCACCTGTTATATTTTGCATCTGTTATTTTATTTGAGTTTTGGGAGTAAGAATAGACATTAATACTTTGATTTTATTTATGTGGGTTCAGAAAGGACATAGTTTGAAAATGGAGTATTAAGGTTGGAACTCTGGTCTTCCGGCTTCTACTCTATCATTCTTTTCTGTAGGTCACATTGCCTGATCTTCTTTTGGTTTCCTTGTGACTATTTCTAGGTCTCTTTCCATGTTGCTAGCATATTTGTCTATTATTCCACCAGAGCCAACACAATATTTAGTTGCTGCTTTTTGTAATCATGCTAAGCTTATTAATAACTTTTCATACAATTCCATACAGAAATTACCTCACGTGAGAGGGAATTATTGGAAGAAAGCTAAATTGATAATACTTTTTTTTTTATTAAAATGAACTTCAGACTTTTTGTGTGACGTTAGTATTTTTATTTCTGAAATAGTGTGACCACATAATTGTGATGAGTTGAGGAAGAGAAAAAAGATTGATAGTGAAGATTTTTAGGTCTGCAAGACAGAGAAAATTGATGGCAGTGTTTGCTGTTCTTGTAGGAATGCTGTCACGATATGGACAGTGAAGTGGAAGAAACTGATATAGATAAGCTACTATGTAAAACTTTCATGTCCAGTTTTGCTTTATACTGTCAATTTGTTTAGAAGGAATGAGAGGGGTGTTGATTTTTAGTATTACACATTCTAATTCAAAACCTGGTTCTAATTTGAGGACCTTGGAACTTACCTGGAATTCTCTATGGATTTGAAGGAGTCGAAGAATTATTATTTAATTTGTAAAACTAAGGTTAGATTGGTACATAAGACCTCACAGGACTCTACCAACTGCTATTCTAGAAAACTGAAGTCTTTCATCACCGTTCCCTAAAATTAAAGCATACATGCGTATGTGTAAGCTTAAACCTTAGAATATTAATGTATAAACCCAGAACAATGCCTTATTACCTGTAACTGTCATTTATTCATGTTGGTTAGATACATTGAAAGCTGGGAAGAAAAAACTGGTTTATTTCCCATTCATGAAACTATTTATATAATTCCATCTTTTTGTAATAGTCAAAATATGAGAAATATAGAACATGGAGATAATTTCAGGAACAACTTCATTATTCTTTATCATGTCAAAATATGGCAAATTGTGGACCTTTTTAAAAAAATGTATTTGTTTTTCTTTAAAAAAATCATGATTTGTCTCTTGCCAACTTTCTTATCCTGCTAGTTGCATATGGTTTCTCTTG